ATCTCTGTGCTGTATGAGGACACATTGGTTCATCTTACACATTCACATCTCTGTGCTGTATGAGGACACATTGGTTCATCTTACACATTCACATCTCTGTGCTATATGAGGACCAATTGGCTCATCTTACACATTCACATCTCTGTGCTATATGAGGACCAGTTGGCTCATCTTACACATTCACATCTTTGTCTTTCTTACAGAAAGGCTTCACTCCCCTTCATGTGGCATGTAAATATGGCAAACTGGATGTGGCAGAGCTTCTGCTGGAGAGAGGCGCCAATCCCAACACTTCTGGCAAGGTATGCTGGGAAACATAGTGTACTGGGACAGAAAGAGTTAGGCCCCTGAGTGTGTTCTGAGCACTGCGTTCCATCCGCAGAATGGGCTGACCCCGTTACACGTGGCTGTGCATCACAACAACCTGGATGTGGTCAAGCTGCTGGTCAGCAAAGGCAGCTCTCCATACAACACTGCAAGAGTGAGTAACACTCACACGCATGGGAAACACATGTACACACAGGTTTGTAATTATATCTTTGTGGGGACTCTCCATTCATTTCTATGGGGAAAACTCTGATCCCGACCTGACGATGTTAGGGTTGTCATCAGGATTTGGGCTGTTCCCGTAGAAATTAATGGAGAGTCCCCACAAAGATATGAATACATATGTGTGTGTGTGTGTGTGTGTGTGTAAATGTCCCCCACAATGTAATAAAAACGTGTTATTTTGATGTTGTGGGGACCATTTTTCAGGTCCCCACAAAGATCTGTAAATGCAATCAAAAAACTAAAAAAGTCTCATTTTTTGTAAGGTTACTTATGGTTAGGGTTGGGAAGTTTTTCGATTGCAGCTACAGTTTTTTAAAAATTGAAGAAAACTAAAAAAAAAAACAATCATCACAATTTGAGAATAACAGGATTTTATCAGATTTAGTCCCCACAATGTAATATATACGTAACACACATACACGCAGGTAGAACACGCATCTGCATGCACACGCTGAGATGGCCTTTCCCCGCCCACAGAATGGCTACACACCCCTGCACATCGCTGCCAAGCAGAACCAACTGGAGGTGGCCAGCACACTGCTGCAGCACGGCGCGCCGCCCAACGCCGAGTCCCTGCAGGGCATCACACCCCTGCACCTGGCTGCACAAGAGGGCCGCTTTGACGTGGTGTCCCTGCTCATCTCCAAGCAGGCCAACGTCAACCTGGGAAACAAGGTGGGGCAAGAAGCCGGGCGGCACCCTGAGAAAGCACACTGCACCCTGCAGTGTCACCATGCCATGACCTTACCTTGCTTTCTCTTCCCCTTGAAAGAGGAAGGCAGTTTGCATTAGTATGGAGGCAGGCTATGTATGACTTATCTATCTCCCCTCAGAATGGACTGACCCCTTTGCACCTAGTGGCCCAGGAAGGTCACATAGGTATAGCAGACATGCTGGTCAAGCAGGGTGCCTCTGTGTTCACAGCATCACGGGTAAGACAGGCTATGTGCTAATGTAACTCTACCCTACTACACACTGATCAGTCTAACATTGCAATGCTTACTCCACCCAATTACATTGCAATGCTAGGCTAACTCTACCCTACTAAACACCGATCACTCTGACAATGCTAGACTAACTGTACCCTACTACACACCGATCATTCTGTCAATGCTAGGCTAACTGTTCCCTACTACACACCGATCAGTCTGTCAATGCTAGGCTAACTGTACCCTACTACACACAACTAAACAGATTAACCTGAGACTAATTTCATCTTATTGCATCAGCATTTGAACATTTTGGGAATGACTGCTATTTGGTTTTTAGGAACTCTTTAAATGTGCCCCCTCCATGACTGCTTATTGAATACAGGTTTGGGGTGAGTCTATGATATTAAAATTGAGCGTGCAGCTGCTTTGTGTCTCAGATGGGATACACCCCCCTACATGTGGCTTGTCACTACGGCAACATCAAGATGGTGAAATTTCTCCTACAGCAACAGGCTAATGTGAACAGCAAGACTCGGGTAAGCGACGTGCAACGTGGCGTCTGTGCACCAGAGCATGAGCTGTAGTGAAATTATATGTCCTTTCTATAGATAGAAGTTTTGTTGTCAGTTATTTTTTTACTTAAGAAGCTTTTTGTTTTCCCTCACGCCCAATCCACTCTCTCTCCCTCTCTTTCTGTCCTCCGCTCATATTTTCCTCCCTATTCTGGTTCTCCTGCCTTGTTCTGTCTCTTTGTTCTCCTTTCCATCTCACTGCCCTCCTCCCTCTCCGCCTCTCTGTTTTTGTCCTTCCCGTCCTTTTCTCTCATTGTCCCTCTTCTTTCAATCCATCTCTCTTTTTGTCCTTCCTTTTCTCCATGTCCTTCTCTCTCTCTGTCCTCCCCCTTCTCTGTCCCTTTCTCTATCTTTGTTCCCCCTCCTCCTTGTCCTCCTCTCTCTCTTTGACCCCCTTTCTCATCATTCATCTCTCTTTTCTTTCCGCTTCTCCTTGTCCTCCTTTCTGTCCTTGTACCCACCCTTCTCCTTGTCCTTCTCTCTCCTTGTCCTTCTCTCTCCTTGTCCTTCTCTCTCCTTGTCCCTGCCCTTCTCCCTGTCTTCCTGTCTCTTTCTGTCCCCACTTCTCCTTGTCCTCCTCTCTCTCTTTCTCCTCCCCTTTTTCCCTGCCCCCCTTTCTCCTCCCTTCTTCTTCCTGTTCTCCCCTCTCTCTTTCTCCTCCCCTTTCTCCCTGCACCCCCTTTCTCCTCCCTTCTTCTTCCTGTTCTCCCGTCTCTCTTTCTCCTCTACCCCCTTCCCTCTCCCTGTCCTCCTCTACATTAGGCGGGCTACACACCTCTCCACCAGGCTGCTCAGCAGGGACACACAGACATCGTCACCCTGCTCCTGAAGCATGGAGCAATGCCCGATGAAACCACCGCTGTGGGTCCTCCTCCATTGCCCATCATCAGCTTCCTCCTTTCACTTTTTCTCTGTTGTTTTTTTGAGGGGGGAGGGAGCTTGATATTCTGCAGGGATCCTTTTACAGAGATCACATAGTGCCTGTCTGTGAGATGCCCTTTATCTGATTGACTCGGTGCAATGAAATAGAGAGGGCAGCAAAGCAGTACTGGGAGAGGATTTAACTGGTACAATGGTACAGTAGAGCCAGGATGTTGTACCCTTAAACCTACAAACTGGGCTGTTTTCTGCAGTAGAGCCCCTCCCAGTGGCATAGTTAAGGAGTTGTGGTTTCTCTTCTTTCCGTAAAAACACAACAGATAAACACAGTCAAAAAACAGTGAAGTGGGCTGAGGAGAGTTCTCCTTACACATCCTACAGTTGGTGTTATCACTAACACTGCCCCTCTCTGCCCTTTGGGCTCCATATACCTCTTCACCATTCACTCCCATGGCTGGTGTTTGTTTTGCATTCTGTGTGGCCTCTGGCTGCTGCAGTCCTGTGTTTCCTGCTCGTTGGCCTCAGAGAGCGGCTCCTATCTCATGTGTCCTTGCCCTCTTTCTCTTATCTCTGTTAGAATGGTAGCACCGCCTTGGGAATCGCCAGGCGCTTGGGCTACATCTCCGTCATTGACGTTCTGAAGCTAGTCACCGAGGAGACTGTCGCCGTGGTGAGTAGCCCTTCATGCACTTATTATGACCTCACTGTGGTTCTGCAGTCCTTAGCTGAAGTTAGACCGGCAGTTGTCCTGTTTCCTGTGGTTAAACTCTTTTATGGAAGGGAATAGAGCTGTCAGTTAGTCTTTGAGGACTGAGGAATAACAAACTTCTATCATTAGCCAATGACAGCTGGTACCTTACATTTATTTATTTGAAAAACAATTATCTCCAAAGCCAGTCACAAGTATAGTAACAAAGAAAAGACCATCAACACAAGTACATGATCAGCTGGCTGGAAACTGCGTGCAGAAATGGTTTTTAATAATGAAAGATTAACAATCTCTAAAGACAGACATGAAGACATTGGGTCACCTTATGTCCCCAGGGTCCTAGGTTCCCTGGATTAGGGGTCATCCTTCATTCCTGTGTTCCCTCTATAGTATATAACATGATGTAAAATAGGGCCCTCGTTCACAGAGTCCATCAGTGTGTTCCCTTTAGATATTTAGGCAATTAAGGGATAAAATATAAACTGAGATTAAATTTCCGTTCCATTCCATTCTTTGAAAGCACAAGTATAGATCCAAAGGTCCATCAAGATACATTACAGTAGCAGTCAGACACGCTTAAAATGCATTCCGGTTACATTCAGGGCTTCAGTAAAAAGTGGTAAAGAAGAGCTTTGTGGGGGGGGAGGGGTGTCCTACCACACAGTGGCTGCAAAACAGGCAAGGTGACATTTACTGTCTGTTGACACCTCTGTCCCTCATACTCAGCTATCAGTACTGTGTACTATTCCTCACATTGTCTTACACATTTGAATGGCTGTACTGCACACTTCTGTCCCATGGACTGTGTTTCCACTACTGCGCACCTGAAACTGGACTGTCAGTGCTGCACGTCTGTCTTTCCTACTTTGGGTCTATCCTAGGCTGCCAGTGCTGCACATCCCTGTCTTTCCTACTATGGGTCTATCCTAGGCTGTCAGTACTGCACATCCCTGTCTTTCCTACTATGGGTCTATNCTGCACATCCCTGTCTTTCCTACTATGGGTCTATCCTAGGCTGTCAGTACTGCACATCCCTGTCTTTCCTACTATGGGTCTATTCTAGGCTGTCAGTGCTGCACATCCCTGTCTTTCCTACTATGAGTCTATCCTAGGCTGTCAGTGCTGCACATTCCTGTCTTTCCTACTATGGGTCTATCCTAGGCTGTCAGTGCTGCACATCCCTCTCTTTCCTACTATGGGTCTATCCTAGGCTGCCAGTGCAGCACATCCCTGTCTTTCCTACTGTGTGTCTCCTAGGCTGTCAGTGCTGCACATCCCTGTCTTTCCTACTGTGTGTCTATCCTAGGCTGTCAGTGCTGCACATCCCTGTCTTTCCTACTGTGTGTCTATCCTAGGCTGTCAGTGCTGCACGTCCCTGTACGTTACACTGCAGGAACATACAAGGCTGTCCCCCAAAGTGGGCTGTCAGTACTGCGCTCCTCTATCCCTCAGACTGGGCGTTAGTCTCTTCATCTCCAAGGAGGACGGAGGTGCTGCCTG